GGCGCTGAGGGTGGCCAAGCGGTTGCGGCTGGTGGCGGAGCTACCGGGACTTGGTGAGCCTGGGCTTGGCTCGGGGGTGTGGAAGGGCCCGCTTTGGTTTAGGTGTGGAGGAGCCCGCCGGCGTCTCTTCTGAGAGCGGTGTGTGTTAGGGGCTGCGGCGCTGCCATAGGCCTGTCCCCTGCCCCGAGCGCCGCGGCAGCAGCGGCCGTGTTAGCTGGGGCGCGCCTCGCTTCGTGGCTGCGATTAAAGCAAACTCTAGTGGCAGGTTTTCTATGTTTTAATGCAAGCTACTTGGTCATTATTAATTTCTTGGGGTGTTAAGTTGGCGCTGCTCCCGTGCCGCGACTGTGGTGCCAGTGGCGGGGGTGCCCTCGGTGGGGCGGGCGGTGGACAGATGGGGAGCGCCTGGGGATGGGACGTTCCTGCGAGGGACAGTAAGAGGTGGCACACGCGAAAAAGGCGCTAGGGTGTGGGGTTTGTGGCCAGAGGCAAGGGGAAAAAGGCACTGCTTTAACTTGCCAGTGCCCCATCTTCTCTCTTGTCTCCCTCGGATCAAGGAGTGCATCCTGCTGTATCTATACAAACGGGTGACCTATAGCAATGTTACAGGGACCACTTACATATGATAATTGGATTTATTTGGGGATTTTTGTGGTTGGTTTGTTGCAATTTTTCCCCTGACTCTGTGAGTGTCAGTAACTGATTTGGTAATCTAAACCTGAGAAACATTAACATGTTTTTTTTTTTTTGTAAATCTTTTGTCTTTTTAGATTTTACTCGTTCTGCATTTGTTGCAAAAAAAAATATTTATGACCAACCAAACTGGTTTGGAGTTGGCCTGGCTTTTAGCACTACTGCTGCCTTGTGGGCTCTTGTAAGTGTTTTCATTTAGTTTTGTTGAATTTAATTGTTCCTGACCTGAAGGCAATGACTACAACCTACCCAGCTGATTGGGGTAACGGATGGTCACAGCAGGTGTCAAGATTGAAGCATGATATTTTGATAAAGTTTTTTTTCCCAAATCTATGTTGCACTTTTTGTTATAAAAATTAACGACTTGGTAAGCTTCTCTCTCTTGCAAACTTAAAATAGCCACAACAGAAAAATTCATTCTTCAGGCCTGTTGGCTTAAGGCTTTAACATTATTCTCCTCAATGGATTTTTAAAAGAAATACTTAGGAATGTGGCTAAATAATGGACAGTTTAACAGACTACTAATGCATTCTCTTCTCATTTTTCAGCAGTAGTCAGTTGATTAAGATCCCATTTTCCTGAACAAAATGGAGATGTAAGATGTTCCCTGTTTCAGAGAACTCGCAGGCTCGATGATAGAGCAAGCAGGGTGTAGTAGGTCTCACAAAGAAATGTGCAGGATAAGCAGTGATCCTGTGATGACAACACTCTTCAGGGTGGGGTGGGTTCCCTTTGGGTTTTTCACTATTTTTGGGGTGGTGGTGGATTGATTGATAGTAGGAACCTCCGCCCCCAATCTGCCAGCAGAAAATGTTTGAGAAAGTTGTGGAAAAAATGCCTCACAGGACTATTGATAATTTACTCTGTATTGTCCCAGTTATGTATTGGTTTGCATTCTGATAATAGGAATTTTATATTCTGTAGAAATCTTTGTTTTTTGATTCCAGATGTACATTGTATAGCAGTTTATCATATACTGTCATTTTACAGCTTTTCAAGCAGCATAATGAAGATGTAATGGAATATGAAAGAAGAAAAGCAGAGAGAGAGCATAAGTGTACAGGATGTTCGTAGTAAGTATGTACGTACAGATGCTTTTGACTTGGCTGCACAGAAATTCTGCAGATCTTTGACTTCTGTCCGCAATAAAGATAGTGGACTAACTTACCTTCTTCCCTTATTGTTTTCCTTAGTACTTAACATCTTGGCTTTTGCTATTCTTCTAACTCATTCCCAGTTTTAAAGTGATAAATGGACTGCTCTGTGTTTTCATCTGTTCATTTGTGTGCATATTCACTGCTAGCTTTCTGTCTTGGACATACAAACTTTTGGAAAATAACACATCTCTTAGAGTGCATATAATAAAATTAGGTTGCAAAGAGAATACGTTACAAGTGCTTTAGTGACAAGCAGATCAAGATCACTAAAAATACTTACCTTTGCCTCTTTTTTTCTTAACAGGTCTAAAATAGGAAATATTTTTCTCAGTTTCAGTTGTATATTACACATAAGAATATCAAATCAATGCCTTACAATTTGCACTATAATGCAAGTTTAATGTGGTCACTGCCCTTTTCAGTGTGAAACAAACACATTTGTGTTTCTGACAGCTAAAAGGTCTATTGGGGATTGTGGCCTCAGCAATTAATATGCTACATGAAAGAATTGCTTATACTAGGTATAGAAAAACTTGTAGTGCTGGGGTTCATTCTCCTACAAATATTCCTGTCCAGCTAAAACAGTATATTGTGGGATGTTTCTAACCACATTAATGATATCTATTTTTCTTGTTGCTAAGATTATTTTTTTCTCTTTCTTAGGCTGACCGTATGCTCAGTAAGAAATAACAACTATCAGTTGTGCTACAAATAAATGAGCACAGCAGAAGGGTGAAATATCTAAATACTTCTGTGTTCCTGCATTTCATGTGTAGAATTGTGAAATAAATTACAAAGTCTGGAAGCAGCTTATGAAGACTTTTCTTGCCATTTATTTCATTCTGCTGTCTTGAAATTGTTTGATGTGGCATTTCTGTTTCATAGATTATCAATGTTATTTTCAAAACACTCTTTGTTATTCTGGAATATATTAGGAAATTAGACATCAGTTCAGAGAAAGCTGAGCAGATACTCCAGAAGTTAAGTGTACTGTTGCCCTGCCATCATTTTCATTGCTAAATTTATAAAATAAGTCATAAGCAAATATAAGAATGGGGTTTATGGGAAACCTAACGAAACTAATCTGCACAAATGCTGTAATATGCATTTTCTATGTCAGATGTCAAAGCAGCAGCTTTCAGCTCAGTTTTGACTCGTAGGTGTTCAAAGCCTGACCCTGGTGCATTCAGAGATGCTGTAATTTAAGTTGCACATCTGTTTCCAAGCTTGATCTAGTTCCTTGAGTGCTGTTGTTTAGTGGATTGTTTGTTTTTCTTCTTCCCTTAGAGCAGAAGTGAAGCTTTGTCAGGGACAACAACAGGTTAGGGTTAGGGTGGCCAACCTTTAGATTATGTGTGGTCTTTATTCTTTTTCCTTGCCAGGAAGCTTGCTTTGCTTTTGCTACAGAATGCAAAGTTAAGATGTATTCTGTGTTTTTGGAAAGGGGGGACAAAAGCTCAGTCTTGAATCTCAGAGTGTTTAACTGACCTGCACCTCATGAGTCTGACCCTTCCTCAGTGGCTATTGCACAGGTCTTCCCAATTTTTGGAGTGGCTTGCTGCCTGAAACAAAAAAGCCATTAGAAACCAACACCTGTGCATAACCTTGGAGGAGAGACACACAGCTGGTGTTGGTGTCTGCTACCAGTGCTGCCTTCTGATGGCTTGCTTACACCTTTGGTTTGTGCGTCAAGGTCAGTCAAGGACAAAGGACAACAAAATGGGATTGTGGCAGTCGGTGCAATGTGGTATTATAATCACCGAGGGAGCACCAGAGCTGTGTGTAGGGAAGGGATAATGAACAGAGCAACTCTCTGGTGATTTGGGGGGGGAGGAGGACAGCTGCACGGCTCTGACCCTGAGCTGCCCTTGACTTCAGCGAAGGGGATCCTACAGTGGGGATTTACTCCCTCACGTGTTTTACTACCAGCATGGAGCTCCTCTGTCCCCATGTTTCACCTGAGCACCCTTTCTGTGAATTCAGATGGTTTCTCCAGTTTTTTTTTTCAAGGGATTGTTGGCAAAGGGCGACTCTTAGCTTTCTCTTTTATTAGAGCAGTAAGAGGTTCCTCACCGTCTTTCCCCCCCTCCCTGGTAAATGCCAGCCCTGCGGATCTGTCTGAGGAAAAGACATTGTGGGCCTGTCAAGTGTTCAGGAATTCCTGCTCTCGCAGTCGGATACTCGAGTGCTGAGCCCCAGGGCCGGTGTTTCGTTTCCCGGCGAAGCTGGGGCGCGGCGGCGTTCCGGGACGGGCCCCGCGTCCCCCTCGGCCTCTGCGGCGG